ATATAATTTCTTAAATAAAAATAATTAATCACAGAATATTGAGTCACGCTACATGTAAATATTGTATTTAAAACATTTACTGTTTTACACCTAACAATTTCGCTTTTAATTTTACCTGCATGTTGGTCTAAGTGACCCACTATCAGTGTCAAAATTTAAAATATCTGACATTGTCAGAACCGTTCCCTTACAAATTTGTGCAAGTTGCACAAACCTACAGAATTCGGACAAAAGACCGACGTAGTCCCTGTTTCTGCTGTTTTGGTGACCTTTCAACGAGTCCCTTAATTATGTGTTTGCCTCTTCTTTCCCCTTTTTTCTCCCTTCTCTCCTGCTTCTGCCTCCCTTTTTTGACGCTGTGTTTGTTTTGATCGGAAGCCTTTGAGCTTCCGAGGTTTTGATGCTTGAGCTGTTGAGCTCCCCGACCGCTCAAGCATGTTGGAGCCGGCTTGTGCTCCTTCCTCCGATGACCTTTCAGGATCTGTCGGTTTTTGGGTCCCTTTTCAGTGATCCCTTTTTGATTTTTATGTTTTCTGGTTGTTTTGTTTTGTTTTGTGTTCTTGTACAGTTTGTTTTTTTCAGTTCTGGCAACCCTCGGCTCTTTTTTGTTGATCTTGGTAGGGGCTTGTTGGTTTTTTCTATTTCTTGTTCTGTTTGGTGCAGATCCAGTAGCCTTCTTTCTCCTCCGACGGATCTGTGGCGGCGTGTGCGAGGGCTGCCAGATCTGATGCCCATCGCGGCTCTCTTGCTGGTTTCGAGGGACTGCCGCCGCCTAATTGGGTTACCGCTCGGCATCCTGGAGCCTGACGCAATTTCTTCAAAAGTAGATAGAAGGGTGTCCCGTATTGATCGATCGACCGAAGGCCGTGATATATCCTGAGTTGTTCATGGTTGTTCGAGTGCTGAGTGCATCTTCCTTCAGCCTCTGAATATGGGTCTACTTTGATCTTTTGTTCTAGTTGTATTTTATTATTTATTATTTTTGTAGATGCCGTATGACAATATTTGTAATGAAACCATTCCGTTATGCTAAAAAAAATTGTGTTTCGAATTTTCCTTGAGTAATAGCCTAATGGGAAGCGCACGAAACAAAACGACAAAGAGAAAACGACTAGGCGCTGAAGAGACACAATAATGCATAATTTGGAAACCAGTCGATTTGGGAGAAGGGATATGGGAAAATCATCAGGCTCCTTTATTACTTGTCAATCAGAAGTTACAAGCAGTGTGGATGTTGCTGATTCCCATTGGCTCTTATGCCGACAGGGCACCTACCGAGCTAATGAACCAAGATTGGCATTCTGAGCTGTCTAAAGCTTCCCAACTTCTTGGTGCTCAAGGTACTACCTTTTATACCAAAAACAAATTCAAAACCAATAATTATTATCGACTCTAACTTATATTTTAAGAATATAAATTAAAAATATATTAAATACATTTTTATTATAAATTTATATTAAAATAAT